CTCCAAGTAGCAGTCCACACTCCATATTTAGATCTATTCGGGGACTTGAACCGGCGACTCTATGGCTCACAGTCCAAGTCCCTACTGACTAGACCCTCCAGAAAAACGCGGGCTAAAATCCTTGATTATGCGATTAAACATGCAGGGTTTTTATGTGATTTTATGCGGTGAAATTGCGGGAAGTTGTGAAAAAGAATAGATTTATTTTAAATATTGGGCTGTCTTATTTATTCTCTCTCACACAAAACCTGCCACTAACGTTAAACCCCTTTCCCATTCAATTAAACACATTCAATGTTTATTTAAGTTAAAAGCAATGGGGCTATTTTAATCACACTCTCTCTCTCTCACACACACTTCTCCGCCTCATTCTGTTTTCATTTACTCGTTCGTTATCTGACCAGCTTCAATCTTGTAGGCTACTCACTTTCTTGTGAAAGCTCTCAAAAGGGTTTTGGAGGTTGATGCCTCGGTGAACGTGAGTTGTTTGGCTTTGTTGTCCGCAGCAGCAGAAAGCATTTTCGAATGTTTGAATTAATCAAAGTGGGTCGTCACCGTCGACTTTCTCTCAGACGTATGCTCCAACACACAGTTGCACGGGGTGCAGAATAGTTTCCCCCCACTTTCGTGAAAGACATCGGGGTACTGCTTTGCCCGGTCTTTAGCAGAAATGTTCGTCGTGTGAGTTCCACACGTTCACTCTACGGTGTTGTTTACCTTCTGTGATGCGCGAGCTGATGACTTCACGTCATCATCGTCACTACTTCACGTCAAGATGAGTTAACTTTTTTTTTTCTCAATTTTGTGTGGAAAAATGCGGGGATTATGCGGCCTTTGATAAATATGCGGCCTTTTAAAAATCTGTGCCATTTTGCTGATTATGCGGTAAATTCTGCGATCGCAGGATCGCGTTTTTCTGGAGGGTCTATGACTGAGCCACTGCCGGACTTCTTTTCTTCTTCTTTTTTTAACTAGGGAGTTATGCTTGTAATTAATCAGCAAGATCAATAAACTGTTCTGTTAAACACTCTTTGTATTCCCCTCACATTTCTACTTCCTCCTCCCCAGATGCCCCACGAGTCGACGGTGGAACACGCCCACGTGGACATCGACATGGAATCGCCGCTGGCAACGCGCAACCGCACCCACTGCAGCGACTGCAAGGACCTGGAGTGCAAACGCAGCCAGCTGACCCGCTCCTTCAGCGAGATCAAACCCCCCAACCTGTTCCCCCAGACTCCTCAGGAGATCACTCACTGCCACGACGAGGATGATGATGAGGAGGAAGAGGAAGAAGAAGAAGAAGAGGAGGAGGAGGAGGAGGAGGAATAGGCTGGACATGGAGATGAAAGCACTTCCTGCTCCTTCCTTTTCATGTTCCCAGTAGAGTTGGGTAGTTGTCTCTCAAAGTGTGTGTGTGTGTGTGTGTGTGTGTGTGTGTGTGTGTGTGTGTGTGTGTGTGTGTGTGTGTGTGTGTGTGTGTGTGTGTGTGTGTGTGTGTGTGTGTGTGTGTGTGTGTGTGTGTGTGTGTGTGTGTGTGTGTGTGTGTGTGTGTATACTGTATGCAAACACACACACACTGCAGATTCCTGAGGAAAGTAAAAACGGACCAGTAGCAAACAGATCATATGACTGTCAGAAGACTGTATGCATGCTCGGTCCTCTAAAAGCTAACTTTTCCTAGCTTCCTTCCTATATAAAAAAGAAACACTTTATAATTTTTTTTAATGACCTTAATTATATTTCTGTTTTATTTTCGCCGTCAGACTTAAAGAGCATCCCATACTGTTTTTATAATCTGACTTTAAAGGCCTGCTGGTGAATGAAGTAGATTGCGTAGATTCCTAACATATTGTTCGATAAAAAACACTGCTCAGCTTCAGTGTAAAAAAAAAAGATGCACACTGTATTAAAACACTTTCTTTTTCTTTTTATGCAACATGGGAACAATGTTCAGTGTGCCACCTGTTTAGTTTCTTTTTGTCTCTTTCACTAGTACTTTGTTTTGAGTGACGGTAAACTAAGAATGCCTCGTACTAAACTGAAGCACAAGCCGGCGTTAAACAGATGCTTTTATTTTTGGTTGAGAGAAATCACGATATTTTGTTACCAAGCAACAATAAGGACGGAGTTCCGTACATGTGTATTATGCCTGCCGCAGTGTTGCTGGAAATAGC